AGAAAAGTCAAAGGATCTCTAACGTCACTAAGATTTATCCTCTGGGAACTATGACTATTTGTACAAAATACTGTGCCAGCTCATATGCTGTGTGTCCATGTAGTAGATACTGAGACATGCAGCAATTTAAGATCAATCCTGATGAATGTAAATAGAATAGTTAATTAATGGAAACAGGGAATTTGTTGGGGAGATGCCGGTTTGCACGCTCAATGAGGGTAACTGTAACAAAGCGCAGGTGTGTTTTATAATGCTAGGGCAAGACAATGTAGCTAACAGGGGGCATCGTATTGCAAACACAATAGTCAGCACAGAGGCTGTTAATGAAGAAGGAGCTCACAGCACAAGACCAAAACAAAAGAAAAAATTCATTCAGAAGCAGTAGGAAAAATATTATGGCTTTAGTTAGGTAGAGGTGTAATATAGCAGTTGACCCATGAGCATGACAATAAAGGACACTTTTTTTTCTAGGAACACACACTTAAAGCAGGATGTCCTGCTGTCCATAAGGCTAGGGTAGATCATTTACAGCTGACACCTGACTGTCATTTGCTGTCCAGTGATGGAAGACAAATTCAAATCCTTTTCAAAGTAGCATTATTAAATAGTAGCAAAGTAGCATTAGCATAGTATTGAATAATCTCTTACAAGTAAGTGCATTACTGTAACTGATCACTAATTAACTAAACATGCATGCAGCATTTTAATGTTGTAGCTGGTCAAGCTAATTTGAACTATTTACATACTGGAAATTTATGGCCAGTTTAATTAATAATAAAGGGTCATATATTTTTTATTTTATGATACTGATTGTATGTTAAATATTAATCTATGACGTAATAAATGTAGTAAAGTTAACAGTACTGCCTTACCTTCTGAAATGTAGTAGGGTAGAAGTATAAAATAAAATGTAACTCAGAAGTGTAAGTACTAGAGTAAATGTAACATTCCATGTATCATGTCAACTAGGGACTGAAAGTACTCACAGCTGTTGTGAGGTTACTTGAAACATCAGTAAAGCAGCAAAATGGCCAATCTCTGTTCCTAGTTTTATAAAACTTTGTTGACCTTTTATCATTCTGTCATGTGCCTCTGATGATTTTCTGATGTGGAGTGCCTGGAACATAAGCCTTGTTGAACACATCCTTCTTAGTTATACGCATCAAGCATTGATGCCATGCAGTGTGATAGGCAGGGTGCGAATTATACAGCGCAGGTGCAGGCTTCAGTAAACTAAAATCTTACAATGCTTACAATATCCTTGCTCGTTTAACTAATGTGTGCAGTCTGTAGATGATGATGAATCTAATTCATTACACCAGTTCATGGTGCACCATACCACAAGACAACGTTTGTAGTCAGAGGTCACTATTCTGCAGTAAACCTGCCAGCAGGTCAGACACACAACAGCAGACCATCAGGACCACTCAAAACAGACCCACACAATGTTAAACCAGAACCAAAGACACTATCATTAAATACAGTCTGCATTATCATATCTAATTCCTGATTCTTATCATTTCAACTTTTAAGTTTCAACTTTTTTTTAGCAAATATCTCCTTTCCTCCTGCTCATGTTGAATGAGAATGAAATGTAATCTGCGTTCAATAAAACAGTTATCATGCAAAGTTGGGGAACTGGGAATTTTTGGTCTCTGTAAATAATATTGAACAGAGTACTGCCTAGACCTTCTTTATATAAAAAGTGCAATGAGAAGCCTTTTGTTATGAATTGGCGCTATATAGATAAAACTGAATACATTTGAAATAATAAACCTGGATTTTAACATTTACCTAACCTGGTAAAACTCCTGAATTCCACAGTGAAAACAAATATTGAGGGATTATTGTAGAAAGACTCATAAAATACTTAAAATGAAATGATAAACTTTATATTGATTGTATATTATTGTAATAACTAATCCTCAGTTTCAGTGTCGGCTAACAGTTACATAAAATATGAAATGATTTAATGGTAATGAAATGACAGGATGGGCTCTCAGCTAGCTAACATCAGATAGCTCATTTAAAGTAAAATAAATGCTAATTACAAAACTCTGAAGGTAGGAAAGTTAAGTGTATTAAAGCAGCTAGATAACTCATTACTGGCATTAACTTCCAGCGTCTCAATTATCGTGTGATGCACTGGACTGATGCAGATGGAGAAGACGTTCAACTAATGTCAAGGTTAGGAAATGGTACGGTCCATTTTAGGGGTGTCAGAAATCGTATTTCTAGATTCTTGAATTTAAGGCATGAGTATGGGAAATATTTTGTAATATTTATAATGACAGGTAAGAAACACCCCCCTGAACTGTTGTTTTTGCCTCTTTTGGGGGGGTCCAAGCCATAATTAGGGGGTTCAGACCCCCCCAATCCCCCCCCGTAAATCAAACCGTGGTGATAAATCCGAAATGACAGTATTTGTTTTTTTTAGTTTTATGTATTCTTCCAGATGCCAACTGCTGTCACTGAGGACAGACATGACATGCATGGGACTCATGTTTATGGCAGCTTGGCAGCCTCATTACCAAACTCCTTATTTATTTTTATTTCTCTTTCTTGTGTATTTCATGGCCCATTTTACATGGTCATTTTCTTAGACACATTCTTCTGTTACTCCTGTTGTTTTATTTAAGTGCTCAGATGTCCAGATAAACCCAAACTGGAACATTTTCAACAAGTTTAAGTTGTTTTTTTTTAATCTTTGTCTCAAAAGCTTAGTCATTTACTCTTAAACATGCCAGTCTGTTAATCTGATTATAAAATTATGTTAATTCTTATTATCTGATTATTGTTAATTATTTTTGGAGTTGGAAATTCTCACAAAAGCTGCAAAAAAGTTTGACAGCCGGTAGCGCTAGAGTTGATTTCACCGGCTGTAATGACAACTTTAGCTGATGGAGTTAATCAGCTGTAGCTAATTAATGTTAAATTACATAAACACATTTGCATTCTGTATACCAGTATCTTCACCATTAACTCTTGATTATGAAGGGGTCGTTTTAAATGTTCACATTAAGCATATGCAGGAGAGTGTTCCCCCCCCCGCGATTGGTCAACATCATCCTATGGACGCTAATTTTCATTTCCCCAGTATCTCCAGGCAGAGGACATTCTTGCCTTTCTCATTCAGGGGAATCCGATCGCACATTTTCTGAAGGCTTTTTTAGGTGTGTGTCAAGCAAGCCAGAGAATCTTTTGAATTTCCTTCAGAACTTTTCAAAGTAAAAGCTCTCACTTAAACACAACATAAAGTACTGCTGCAAAGATATTCTCGCACTCTTATTTTGTAGGCACAATCACTTAAGAGGAAGTGATTATGTAAGTAACTTTTGTTGTCACGACTAGAGTTGGGCAGTAAAAATATTACTTTTCCCAGTACCTAGTAGTGTAACGGATTAGGCATGACGTCACAGAACGCAGTTACGCTCACTGAGTGGCAGAAAGACGAGCAGCAGTGTTAGCTTGAATCAGCTAAAACACAAACAACACATCTAAAATGGGAAAGAGCCTGACCACCGCTTCTTTGGTAAGCAGTAAGGATCACTGTCGAGTCCGACTGCCTTTAATTTGAGCAAATAATCACTTGTTTTACGGTAACGGATGATTTGCCACTCAGTCCAGCGTCTTCCGGAAGGGGCGTGACATCAACGCATACCCTCTATTGTGTCACAGTCTAAGATGCAAAGAACTTTGTCGTCTGTTGTAAACTCTGTGCGACCAGCAAAAAGCTTTCAACCGCAAACATTTCTACACTTAATATATTGAAGCATCTGCTGAAGCAGCACAGCAGCTTACAGAAAGAAACTCCTGCAGCTCCTACCACTGATGCTTAGACTCGACAAAGATCGTCGTTTCAGCACCAGCCGCTATAATGTTTTTTTTCCCGCAATCAAAGTAATCTGCCGATGGGCCGGATATTATTGCTGGCGGGCCAGTTTTGGCCCGCGGGCCGCCTGGTCTAGGTGATAATCTCAGGTCAGTTTTAGACAAGTAGCTAGCCAGTAGTTCAGCTGTCGAGTGTAAATCTGTAGTGGCAGGTGGCTAGTGAACAGATTTCCCATTTAAAGTTTTAAACCTTAAACCAAATACGGGCCTCTAGATTAATTTAAAGAAAATAATCATCAATTTAAATCACTATTTTGGTCAGGAAGTTTAAAATGATTGATTTGTCTAAAACTGTCGAGCCCTGTGTTGCATTCTGGATCTGCTTTGTAGGAATTTGTTTTATTAGCCCACGGGGGACAGGCATATAGACTATAATTGTTGTCAACAACTCTATCAATATTATCATTTTTAAAATAAATTTACACATTAGCGTTACAGAGAAGGGAGCCTGTGTAGTCGGAAATGCTCTGGTGTGTCCAATGAAACCTGACCCATGTTAACGAACAGCCCAAAGAGCTGCAAGCTGACACTTCCTTGTGTATTAGAGTAATTAGAAGTTCATCCTGCAGGGGAGCCCGGCCCTAAATATTTAATCTGAAGGGAGCCGTGGCAAAACATGTTATGCCGCCTGCGTCTTTTGTGTCCAATATTACACAGTCCATGGTGGAGGAGCAGCTGGTAATGTGCTTTGTGTTGGAAAATAGATGTGGAGTGTGGCGGGCTGTGTGTGTGCCCACTGGGCTTGTAGGAGACAATCTGTAGCATGTCTGCACAATTGTATTGCTATGTAGATCTGTGTCAGAGATAAGGTGGAATTCTGTGAATGTGCAGTATGGGAACAGCAGCAGCAGCCGACAGAGGCTGGAGCTGTTTTGATCAGAGAAAAGAGAAATGGAGATTAAAAAGGCTCTCATCCTAGTAGAGAGGTAGCAGCAAGGCTCTACAGGGAGGGAAGAGACCCAGGCTGACAGAGAGATGAAAAAACGGCGGGATCTGGAAGACGGGGGCGCAGTCAGTTTTTGGCTGAACACTGGTAATCGCAGATGGATTTTTTTTTTTTCTTTAATGCTCACTTGTTTCCTCTATTCTTTTGTTCTTCCTTTTGACAGATATGTGTCACAAAGATGTCCACACGCAGCTGCCAGGGAACAGACTCGGTCATCAAGCCCCTGGACACCATCCCTGAAGACAAGAAGGTGAGAGTGCAGCGCACGCAGAGCGGCTTCGACCCGTTCGAGAAGCCCGCCAGCCAGGTGAAGAGGGTCCACTCTGAGAACAATGCCTGCATCAATGCCAAGAGCTCGTCCGCCAGCAAGGAGTCGCCCAAACTGCGGCGACACTCCAGCCCCAGTTCTGTAAGTACACCTTTTACACACTGTGTGACATAGTGTGCCTGTATATTTATTGCTTATTACATATTATTGTAGCATATTAGTACACCTAACAATCCTCCATCGTTAAATTACCCACATTGCATTTTAGAAACTGTACACTTGGCAATCACCGTCCAAAATCCTACCCCTGATGATGCAGTCATGTGTCGCAGTAGCAAGAAAAATCCTGGTTACAAAGTTTTGTAAAGTGATTAGAGAGTGATTAGACGTTCTGTAGCTACAATGAGTCTTTCTTGTCTCTTGATTGGCCAGTGCTTGCATCACCACGGCCAGACTGCACTGCTTTGATCGTGGCTTAGATCTATTATTGCCCATATTCCACACAGACATCTAGGTTCATCAAGTAGACAAATCCGTCTAATCCTTAACTATCTTTTGAAGACCTAAATCATCTGGGTAAATTTGACGTGGGTCTGTGTAACTTTTGAAAGACAAAATAACAAAACCTTTCTTTTACAACGGAAAAATGTACTTCATAAGAAATAAAATCATATAAATACAAAACGTGGGTGGCTGCATCACTTCCAAATGTGCTTTTGTATAATATTTGTGCCAATAAACAGCTCTGACTTATTTAGCTGGCCTGTGTCACATGACTGTGGAAACCTATGTGACATGAGAACTGTGCAGCCATTAAAAAAAAAAATCATTATTTCAAATTGTCAACAAACATAGTATCAAACAAAAACATCTGAATCATATACATAAAGATGAAGCATTGAGAAAACAAAACGAAAAGCAGCGTCAAGCAGCCGCACACTTCTGCATTAAACTTCTGAAATTTAGAGGAGTGTCGCTATTTTTCACCTGTAGATAAAAATACAACAAGATGCGCTATTTCTGACAAGAAAGTGTCACATACTTTAAAGCTGATGATACAAGGGGCAACTTTTTGAGCAATGTTGCTGGGCATCTTGCTAGTGGCAAGTCTGTGTTTTGAACGGGTAGCGGAGTGGTGGGGGAAGGGGATTACGGTAATAATCTTTACTCACTGCCATTGACGGCAACGTTGCCCTGCACGGTTGCTCTAAAAGTTGCTCTGTGTATCATCAGCTTAACTTGCTCTGGAAAATTCATGGCCTGTTTGAGAAGATGAAGAAATCTTTAAGAAAGTTCAAATGTGCAAATTTTTTATGCTGTAGGTATTTTATCAATATTTATTAGTGGCGTGACAAGACACTTAACCCACGAGACGAGACGGGATTTTAACACTATTTAAAAAAAAATTTTAATGCTGAATTATATGAAAATTTGAGCATTAAACACTTTATTTCCTGCATTATGATTTTTTCTGCACCAGTGTATGGTGATTCTTTTTCATTTATATAATGAAAAACACAACTATAACAGAATAAAATGCAGTGCAGCTCTCAGTCATTCAACACATGTGCTGCTTTCAGATCTGTTTCTCCTGTAGATCAACTTTTATCATGTTATATCACCCCTGCTGAGTCATGATTTAGTCACCTCAATGATAAATTATTAAGTTTTAATTTAGTTATAAACTCCGTTAATAGCTCCTGTGTTTTAGCAGATTTTCTTTTCTACTTTTCTGCACATTTAAAATCTCTCCCACATAGGCTATCTGTGTTCTCATGTCCAGAGAAAAGGTAGAACATTACCAGTCTAACGTCATCATTTAATAAGAAGTCTACCTGCCCTTTACTCTGCTGTGCATTACGTTATTTATTCGCTGGTAGTAACGTTCAGACGTTTGACCGACGCAGTTTGGGACATGTGAAACCGAAAAGAAAGGAAACACTTTTGATCAGGCAGAAATCTCACCACATAGCCACTTCAGCAACTCACAGTCCCAAACAAGCTGCGCAAGCTGCAACTACCAGCTGCGTTACCACTCCTTACTCGTCACAGCTGTCTGGTCAACTGGGCAGAGTCTGTCTTATCAGTTATACATTTGTATGTCAAATCTTGAGACGCGAGATCTCGTCACACCCCTAATATTTATAATAAATTATTTAATTTTATTATTATTTAATCATTCAATCAACGTTATTAATGTGTCATGTGATATGCCTAAAGGACCATTATTCTGAAAAATCTCATACCCATTTAAGAAATTTTCTGTATTATTAAAATTGTAACAAAAAGCATTGGCGTTATATTGAATTGAAAAAGTTTCGTATCGGCCATCCCTAGTGTGGAATGACCAGAAGCTTATGGTGGTTAATGCTAGTTAATGTTGGCAAACTTTAGATACTGTTGACTATGCGTTGTGTTGGACAGAGTAGAGTAGGTAACAGAAATGAAACATACTGTGCCTCGCCCGAGACGTGCAAATCAGGTTGCCTGATGATGACTTTAAAGGAATAGTCCACTTTTTCTTTTTAAATATGCCTATTTGCTTTATTTTTCTGACATGAAAATGTTATCAGTCTCATGGAGCTGGAGCTTAGAGCTGGTTATCCTAACTTAGCCTGAAGATTGGCTAGCCTGGCTCTGTCCAAAACAGTAATATTAAAGCAACATTAGGTTTTATGGGGAGTAGCGTGCTGGTATTCTTCAGATACTATCAGTAAGCACAAGTCTAATGGCTTGATTCCACCGGGCACGGCTACGTCGTGTTCTGGCTGTGATTGCGACCTTTCTAAACGATGCTTGTGATTAGCTTTCTGCTCTGCTGCGCGGAGAATATGCTACACAGAGCAGTTTGAACCTAGCAGGAAGTCAGACACAGAAATGGCACAGTAGACTCAAGCGTATATCCAACAATAAACACAGCTAAAATAGACAAAAAAGATGCCATTTAACTAGACCGCCTACCTACCCAGGATAGAAGGACAAAAATCAAGGAAAAATATCAACACAATTGGGCAGGCAAAAGCTGCTTGCTTCTGAAATGCTCCTGGTGGGTTTATGCGGTACAGACGGAACAAATCGCGTCACAGATGCAACATCATAAAGCCCTGCCAGGTGGAATCAAGATGTTACTTTAGGTAGCCTATTCATACAGACACAATGATACAAATGTCACTCAGTGTGACAGCAAAATTCCTGGAAGTCACAGTGCCTGGCTCTAATACGTGACCAAAGCAGGAGAAAGACCACAGGCAATGGTGCTGAAGGTAGTATTTGGTGGGCAGTCACCTCTGTTGAGTTGATAAACATGCGGGTGATACAGTCATTCTGAGATAGGATGGGGGTAGAAGTGGTAATTTTTTCCTTTCCAAAAAATTAGTCAGTCTTTATTTTTGTGGATCTTTTTTAAGACCGCATTAGACTAGTTTGATACGGCCTAAAGGCTGCCCTGTAAGCTTATGGCTGTGAGCTCACAGTAACAGAAGGCGGCCTTTCAGCACTTCTTTTATCTGGATTATGACAGCTGGACAGTAAGATGACATGTTAGTGAGTGGGTATTGGAGAAATGAGCGGGGCAAAATGGGATTTTGAAAAGTGACATGTCCAGTAGTACTCCAGCCAATAAAAAAAATCAAGACAATCGCCAAACACTTTTAATTTTGAGGATTAGGAATATCACATGCCATGAAATATCAGTAAGAGATTGATTAATTCAAAATAGATTCAACATTAAACCTGAGAAATATCAGCCGTGGTAGGCACTTGCTCGGCTTTAACATGGCTATGGCTTTTCAAATCACCGTCAAAGCACTAACTACCTCTATATTTCTCAGGTGTTTTGTTTTGGCAGCCAAACTCATTTTCTTTTCTCCATTTGAAACAAATGTTCCAGCTTTTATTCGTTCACACAGTTAAATGAAGGCTGTTTACAAACAACATGATTTTCTTAATCATGCAAATGAGATTTTCAGGTTTTACACATATGTGGTTCCTTTTTTAATTTAGCTCCAAATGCGAAATGCTTAATGAATGTGCACACAAATAAGATGTAATAAGTGTGATATGAGGCTTGACTGATTGCCTGCCAGCATCGCTGCGAGGCACTAATGAACTGCTTCAGCCATGATTATGAAAACGTGTAAATTGTCCCTTTTCATGGTCTTTTAGTTGAGGCAGCCCGACCAACGCAACTCTCTTATATTTCACACATAACCTCTCGGATTGAAAGTGGGATCGTGGACTCTTTGGTCATCTACCATGGCCTGTACTGCCACTGAAATACAGTAGAAGCAAAATGACCTTAAAAATCGCTGACACATGCTGATAGTGTGGATAGTTCATCGAAACAAAGGATAGTTCATCGAAACAAAGGATCACTAATGGATTAGGATTTGCGTAGCCCATACCAAGCCAAAAATACCATGTTTTTTTAATCACACATTGTGTAAACGTTTGATATGGTGGCCTGTTTTTGACATCCATTTCTATGTCAATGTTTTGACAAATTAATTAAAAGTCAAATGTACAGTGTGAATGTATCATGCTGATTTTCACCTGCTTATTGTCCTAGTCTTTGTCTTATGCCAGAATTTATTGTATTCTGGTTACATATTTTTGTACGTACTGTTATATAAAATGCACATTGGGATAAAAGATTATTATCCCAATGTGCATTTGATAAAATGTTCAGGCAGAACACTGAAAGTCGTGCTGGCATTAGCTGATTGGCATCAGCTGCTTCATTCATGGATCACCATCAGTGGCTTATTCATCAGTTGCTTAGCTACCAGCTGATCACTAATGTCTATGTGTGTACGGTGGCCTTTATAGCCTGTCAGGTGTGAGATTTTGTTATTTTATCCAAAAAACAGAGTTCTTTTGCCTCATTTTGGATTTTTTTTTTTTTTATTCAATCAATCAGTCATTCATATAAAGAGTGGCAGGTGTGAAATTATTGGTGCAGAATGCTCTAGACGGAAAAAAAAATACTTGAATGAAAAATGCATGAGAAAGGAATCTCTTTTTAGTCCAATCTCAGCATCACCGAGAGAGACGCAACATGAGTCTCTATGAGAGGTTCCTCTGCCGGCCAGGAGGAGAATATCTTACTGTCCAACTCAGTTAGATAGTAGAGATAAAGTTACACTTCCTGCTTGATCCCAGGAGGATGTCTAATTTGTTTAGAGAAGCCTTCAGAAATGCTGGGTTTATTAGAGCTGCAGAGGATGGTGAAATACCAACAGAGGGAAGATAAAGCAGGGAGGACAGTGCAGATAAAGCAAAGGCTGCACCATGCTTTAGACATTCGGTGTTGTGATGTTGGGAGCAGAGCTTGTTGAAGGTTCCATATACACATGAGAGCCTGGGATTTTTTTTTCCAGATAAATCTCAAATATGCAGGGGGTGAAATCAATATTCATGCTAAAAAAACACGAGTTTTGTGGTTGTTGTTGTTCATTGTTCAGCGCAATGCATGCAAGGACATGGAGGAGTTACTTTCAGCTGTCAATCAATTACAAGGTGCTGAGACTCAAAGGCTCCATCTCTAGAACTCATAGGAACTTCAGAGGGCCTAAGGTCCCCAGCGAGGTTCGCTTGCTGCCACAAAAGTGTAAAAAGCGATTAACTTACTTTCTCCATATTATGAACTCCTTTATATTCCTGACATGAACGTAAGGTAACAGAAAATTACAATTGGGTGTGAAAACCTATTTAAGAAAGGCATATGGAAAGTAAAATGTACAAGTAGTACATTACATAAAAATAATAATAGGACGTTAGCATTTTAAAATTAGCAAAGATTGGTTTGTCACCATAGTTACAATAGTGTTACCTTCTCATTACGAGCAGAAAGGAGTTAAAAGGTCAGTTTATATAGGTTGCTGTTTTGAAAGCAGTAGTATATGATCAGGCATAATTTTCTTAAATAAAACACTGACATAAACAAATAGAAATGTTTGTTTGCAGTTTTATTCCTGACGATACGCAGGTTTGAATTTGTACTGTTGACATCAAGAATGCGGGCCACATCAGTGCAGTCCCTTACCAGTATATAGGAAGTGGAAGTTTTAGAGTTGAGCTAGTTTCCCCTTTTCATAGCAACTGGAGATGAACCGTTCTGGGCCTCATTTCCCTCCAAGCTGTAGTCATTACCTCTGTCACTGTGAACTGTTGACAATGAAAAGTGTCTGAAAGTTATGAGCTGACGATTAAATAAAAGGTAGCCTTCAGAGTTCTTACATGGAGGCTGTGAAAGTCTCTCTCCTCCTCTTCACTGACATTACACCTCCCCGATGATGCAGTGGGGAGCCTCCAGATTTCAATATCTCTCTTAGACTTGTAATGCATTCTGTGAAATCATCCGAGAGCTTCCTTTTCTGGGTTACTGAATTCATCCTTTTATATTTCCTTTTCATATCTATTTCTTTTTTCCGTAGCCTACAAGCCCCAAGTTTGGAAAAGCAGATTCCTATGAAAAGCTGGAGAAACTGGGAGAGGGTTCATATGCTACAGTTTACAAAGGAAAGAGCAAGTAAGTAATGCGTGCATGTCCCGTCACACCTAATCTAGTCACTCTTCTTCAGAGTTCATAAGAGCCACTCATGCAGGCAGTGAATATTACATTTAATTATACTGGAGCAGTGCTCTAAGTGAATGAATTAATTAAATGGAACAGCAATAACCGTTACAGGGTGTAGTTTTATGTAAATAATCTTTTCTCCTCTCTGTAGAGCTGCAAATCCCAGACATGCAATGTGTTCTCTTTTATTCCAATCACTACAGGATGGATGTTTTTATTGATTGATTCAATAATTATGTTTTTATGGCCTGGTGCTTTCCTTCCAGATTTTGCAAATTAAATTCTCGAAAATGAAAAGTTCACACACCGTAAATGTGTGAAACTCCACAGACTCTAATCTTCTCAGTAACGGTGTTATTTTGCATAGCTCTTCACTACAACAGCTTTGATTGGTGAGCTTCATTCAGTTGTAATCCCGTGGCCTTGTACACGGGTCTTACTCCACCGCTGCTAAATTACATTTCATTGACTTAACAATATTCGCTGTCGTCTGGCTTCACTGATTCTAATAGATTCCTTTTTCATGTCACAAAAAATAACCACTCATCTGTGTTGTTGCCAGGGTGAATGGGAAGCTGGTGGCTCTGAAGGTGATTCGTCTGCAAGAGGAGGAAGGAACGCCCTTCACAGCCATAAGAGAAGGTAAGAGGTTCATGGGTGCAGAGACTGTTACTCTGCTTAAATGTTACTGGAAGACAAACAAACAGACTGGAGAAAACATCTCATGACAATTAGTTAATTGAAAAAACTACCCCCCCCCCAAGTAGTGAAGTTTGAAGCAGCTGCTGCACAAGCTGCCATCACCATGGCTGGACATCCCAGGATTGATCAGCTGCCCTTTAAAATGTTTGACAGCAGCACAGAGCATGCCATGGCCTGGTTTGTCCCGTCAGTTGTGTGTGTGAAGCACATGAAGCTCTTCACTTTACTGAAACACCTCCACACGCACGACTGCCATTTGAATTTAGATGAGAAAATGAGTCTGTCTGTTTGATCTGCGAATGATCCAGGCCTGATGAAGTGAGAGCCTTCCTGGGCTCTATATACGCACACACGCACACACACACACACACACAATGGTTCCTCCATCCCTGTGGGGACATCTCATAGACATAATGCATTCCCTAGCCCCTTACCCTAACCTCAACCATCACACCTACATGTAACCACATGGTTACATGATTGGTGTGCAATGTAAAGTTCCCACCCAGATATAAAAACTTGAAACACACACACAGAATCCAAACTCTCCCTGTGAGCAGATCAGAAAGGCACTTTGACATTGAACTAATTCAGCTATTACTGAGCAGGAAGCTCCCAGCGCCGATATGTGAGCAGCATTACAGACTGCTGCTGAATAAAGTAATATATCCAGAGTAAGAGAGAGGTGTGTGTGTGTGTGTGTGTGTGTGTCCTTGCTTATTAAAATTGCACACACTTATGCCCATTACTAGAGGTGGGGTGGGTGTATGAAGGGAGGGTGGTGGATCTTCAAACGTTGACAGGATCTTTGAGGTATCTGACTATAGCACTAACCTCCTGCTTACTGAGATGAGTCCTGCCTTATCTGTTGTCTTTTTTTAACAACCTTTAGGTACTCACACAGGATGAATGTATTCATGAGGCTCCATCACTCGCAGGCTCTCTGTGGATCTGTCCGTCAAAGCCCCCCTGTGCCCTTGGAAAATAACTTTGTGTTTGCTAATTTAATCACATTGGCAACAGTCTGAAAATCCCATTTATGCCTCACAATAAAAACTGCACTTATTATGCCGCTCTGACATTCAGTCCTAATGGAACAATTCCCTGTTTTGCTTGACTGTGGCCAGATGAGTTTTTCTGTCAGCTGTTTGTTTGCCTGCAAATGCGTCTCTGTGATTACCGTAGAAAGCTTCACAGTTTGTTGCTAAAGTATAATCACACTTCTGAAAACTTTCTTCTGAAATAATTTGTTCCTGTCTAGTTCAAGTGTAGTCGCTTCAGAGAGCTGAATATAATAGCTGTGGACAAAGAGTGGTGGGATACTTCTGACAAGTCAGCATGGTGATGCTGAAATAGAGATGTTCATTAATGAAGTGACATGACATTCCAAAACATTCACTTAGGCCACAGTAAAACCTCAACAAAAGTATGTGGACATCTTCTATCGATGAAAATATGTTCATCTTTATAGACAGGATTTAGAATCTTGAAGCTGGAGTCATTAAAGTTATAATCCTTACACTTTTCAGTGCATTATACCCCCACATTTTTCCAGTAATAGCCATTCAACCTATTTACATTCTGTAATTACCTTTCTATATGCTGGTTCTCATCGTTATTGGCAGAGTCTGACTGAAATTGCACACCCATACACAAGGGATTCTCAGAAAACAATGCGTGCATCTACTGAGCATGATGTAGAAGACAAAGCCGGAGCATGCACACATTTTGTGGACAATGTTCAGAATTGAAGGTTTAGTCATGAGTTTAGTAATTTTGTGTTGTTGACATTTGTCTTTTGTCTTCTTTAAACGGAACGTGATGGATAATTCCAGCCTGGTTTGTTTGGCTGGGTTGTAAAGTGGCACATAAGTGCTTTCTTCTGTTTCATTTCGTACAGAGTAGCTGCTCTCAGTGGTTGATACATGTGTTCAATTCAAACCAAACTCTGGGACCATGTATTATTAAAACACACTTGTCATTACCACCAATAATCAACTGGGGCTGAGATATTAAATATTATAATTTTAAGTATACTTATAGAAATTCAGGATAAAAAGTTATATAAAAAGAAGATACATCATTTCTAATAAAGCAAAAATCCATGCCACTCTGATGTAAATGACCACAGAGTATTACCATCTCAAGTACGGTCTCATGTCTCTGAGCAAATCTGCGTCCAAGTCATCACAAGCAAAATGAAAGTCTTACAGGTCTGATTTCTGACCATTAAAATAACCAGAATTTAGACTAAATCATTTGAAAAGCTTATATCTGAGCCTGACTCAATAGAAAAGCAGACAATTTTGTAAACTCACTTTTCTCTCTGAACATTGTTCTTAAATTAACCAGGATTGACTCTCCTGTCTGAAAGCTGACTATCAAAATGTGTAATGTGTAATTGTATTTGGACATTTTCCTTTCAAGACAGTTTTTCCAGGCCAAACCCTTCCAATACATACGCCTAACCAAGGTTTGCAAGGACTGCCAAGAGGCTTTTTCTTTGTTTAAAAAAAAAGTATTATTGTTTTACGAAGTCAAAAGTTAAGAAACACAAACCATTGTACTTTCAAGTCTGAAGTCAAATCACGTTTTTAGGGGGGGGGTCAAGCCCCAACTAAGTCAAGTGATTCCAGGTCTGAAGTCAGAACTGATTTGACAGCTCTATAAGGCCAATTTGAGGATTAAGTTTAATAATCAACCAACCACAACTTGCAATAAATTTCGTCTGTGTTTGGCATTATAAAACGGTGAAGTATTCTTTGTAAGAAGCAGGATTTAAATTTTTGAAAAATTCAGTGCAGCTTTCCCGACCACCTTCTCGGTACGGTGTCTGCAACAGGTTTTTAGAGGTGTAGAATTTTCCCATGCAAAAGAGACCCTTGCAAATTCTGTAAGCCTTTGCTGACTGCACAGTCCATCGCCTTTTTATATCTTTTTTTCTATTACTTGCACAATCCTCCCAGATTGTACTCAAGGTTTGACTCAGATGGAGAGAATCACATGTGAAAGTCTTAACAAGTCTGTCCCAGAATGTGCTGATCACACCCGACATCCTCAGTAAGAAGACTCAGTAAGCTTTGCCAGTAAATTAATGGGCAATTTAACCGAATCTCCCCAACACATCATCTCACTGCTGTATTTATTAACAAGGTCTATTACATCATCAATGTGTTGCCGGATGAGTGTGAGAACTTAATGCAGTAAATCCATCCTGTAGGTTTTTTTTGTTGTTTTAATCTTTACTTGATCCCTTGTATGCTTGCAGTGAGGCTTATTGATGGCTATAGGGTTGCATTCCAATGAGGCCGCTAACGCAGGCATATATCATAACAGTTCCTCTGGTATCTCAATATGTGCTTCACATTAACTCTCCTTCTGTTCTGTCGCTGCAGCATCTCTTCTGAAAGGCCTGAAGCATGCCAACATCGTGCTCCTCCATGACATCATCCACACCAAGGAAACCCTGACTCTGGTCTTCGAATATGTGGTTAGTCTGCACACTGCCACACTGAGATCACCCACTTGGTGGCTGTACAGGCGAACTGTAGAGGTCTGAAAATAGGCTGAGGATCTGTTTTTAGTGTTTGTTCAAAAGGAAAAGAAACCACAGTTTTAAAGGGCACAGAGGTCAGCGCTCGTCTGTGTGTCTTTAGTTTGATTGATTTGACCTCGCTGACTGAGTTTCAGTTTTTAATACTCTACCCTCAGAAACATGAGCTGTGGATATTTTGATTGGCACTTGAGGAGTGTTAAAGCAGCCTGGGCTTTTTCCACTCTTTGCTCTCTGTGCCGTAGGATGGCAGCCAGAAGCACCAGAGGCTGGTCTGTCTGTGCCCAGAACAGGAAGCCAGGCGGCCATTTTATTGGAAGGTCACTGTTTTAGTATGTTTCCACAACTGTCCTGTCAAATATTGTGGACACAAATGACAGCAAAGGACATTCTACTGATGTATTTATGGCCTATAAAAAAAACCCTTCCTACTAGAAAATCTCATTTACCACAGTTTACAGACAGTAACAAGTGAAATGTACTGAGAATAGAGATGCCCTCCGTCGGGTCTGCAAGGTCAGTACTGAGGCTAATCAAGGTACATTTGAAACATCAAGGTATATCTAAAATAGTCAGTATCAGATATTTTAAGCTCAATTTGTTTGATCCTCTCTTTAGTTTAGTCCATTTTATTCCTGGTATGTCACCTACTCTGTTCACCAAGTGGCAACTAAAGCTTATCAGCATATATGTATGTTGGCTGATAGGTAACAATAAATGAAGTTAGAAACAGTGTCTTTATTACATACAGTTTGTCCACCAAACAGCACTGAAATATTGCACCCAGTACGCATCATTATTCTTGAATAATCCAATTTAGGGGCCCTTTATTAAAATGTAAGTCTGTTTAAGTAGGTTTGGTTTCTCGTAGCCCGAGCTACATAGAAAATATTCAGATAATGTTTGGAGCTTCTCATTTTTAGTGAGCGCTGCTGCACGTCACTTTCGCAAGTTGAAATGGCAAACATTACTTGTATCAACTGTTGCTAATTAATGTCAATTCTGTGAGCAACTTCAATAACGGCCGACATGTGTCTTATAGTTGTTGTCTGGTTAATGTGCAGCACTGTCTTTACTCAGCCACATGTTTTTGTGAGGGAAAATAATTTAGTTGTACATAAACATTTAAATAAAAACTACTAAGATTTGAAAAGGTATTTGAAACTGTTGGGAATTGACGCATGATTTATATTTATTATATTTATTTTAATTGATGTCAACACAAAAGCCAGATTCAGTATCACTCGAACTCTTGTGGCAACCACCAACGCTGCCATTGGTGTAAAGCAGTGGCAGGCCACCACGATACTTATAATGTTAGATAAGTAAACTCAAAACTAACAGTCTAAGATCTCCACCAGTCATGTGATTCTTGTCACCGTGACATATCTGTCAAGTCTCCCACCTCCTATAATTGCCAAGATCATGGCAAGCAAGCAGGAAGCTGAAGCTTCAATCCATCCCGACAGAAACATTTAGGTGACAGTGCAATCTCTGCATCCATTTGCTTCTGTACTTTGTGTGAAAACACTAGAAATTGGTCCGCAGTGTTCTAGCAGGCGAAAAGCAGCATGAAAGAGTGGTACAACATTTTGCAAATGTTACAACCCCCTGCTGCTGGTGTGAAAACTGCATGTGTACTACTGTTTTTCTCTTGAGATGAAGAGAGTATTTCCAAATCCTGTTTAAACCACTGAATATCTTGCTGTGGACATCTTTACAAGTTAATATCAGAAATACTGTTCAGCTCAGCTTCCGCAAATATTGTATTACTAGAAAAAGTTTTTACCTTAGCTTTCTGGACAGAAATGGATACTGAAACTACAAGGTTCAGAACAGCCCAAAGCCTCTGTTAACCCTCTGCATATGTACCAACTGACAACCATTTTTGATGGTCACATTGATATTCAGGTCCATCTTTGAGCTTGAAATGCTGAGCGAGGCCAAATCTCTCGACCAGAACAAGCTTACTCAGCTTTCCATCACTTCGGCATTTAATGAGACTGATAACAGTGCGATGCCCCCTTTTGGCAGCTGTAACACATGTCAGAGGTTCAGCTTTTGAAGGATATTTGGTGAGATACGAGTGGAGCTCAGAAGGTCGTGTTTGAATAAAGAATGAGAGCAGAGATCAATTTGGCTTTGGAGTTTAAACAGCGAGATCGGTTACCCCTACTAATAATAATATTCATGTCTTTGACTTAATAAATCTTTCAATTGTGATGCAACACGTTCCTTTGAATATAAGGAATTACTTGCTGAATTTACTACTGGTTATTTATTTGAATAAAATGGTAAATTCCAAGTTGTGCAGATGTGTTGGACTGCTGGTTTCATGTTGATCCCTTAGCTTGTAATCCCGCTGTGCTGGTTATTTACAGAGGGCTTCTCAACCAGAAAAATCAGTTCATTGCGCTCCTCTCAAAGCTAATGATGATTGACAGGGAGAGGGTGGAATACAAACAGGGAAAGGGGACAAATAATCTATCTGCTAACAAAACACTGAAGTGAAGGGCATGCCAGCGTAACGCTGCATGCGAGTCACTCGATGGTGGCTTTCTGATAGACAAGACACCAGCTGAGCTTTCAAACAAATCACCTGGCATCTCAGATGGTAAACAGTGCTTTAACATAAAGCTGATTTCTCAGATTACTTGACGTGACTGCACTATGTGGCCAAAAGTACATGGAAACATCTGTCCACAAAGTGTTAATTTTTGTGTTTGGAAATATTCTGCCTCAGAATGAATAGAATTAACATCCAGCCAACATGCCATCCTGTTCTCAGATCAGCAGGCTTATCCATAACTTGTCACAAGTTTTAACTTTCCCATGTTACCATGTTAAAATTGTGCTCTTTTACTTTTATTTTACAGCACACAGACCTGTGTCAGTACATGGACAAACACCCTGGGGGTCTCCATCCAGACAATGTGAAGGTACAGTATATATAATTATGCTGGTCACAAACAAAAAAGACTTCCGTTTGGGTCACTTTCACTCATTCACTCATTGGCTATCTGCAACAGGTGGTATTTATCAGTTCATGAAGACACACACTGCTTACAACAAACCAGAGCAGCAAACCAATCAAAGTGCTTGCAGCATTAATAATAATGGCATTTGTGAGTTAAGGTGCAGTCAGGTAGGTAATATTGGAAGCATGAATTGTGGGAGCTAGCTTGGCTAGCAAGCTAGCAACAGCATTCCATAAGTTATTAATTATGCATCTTTTCTGTTTTATATTGGAGCATTCTCTCACAGTCGAACAGAGCGTTGTATTTTGACACCTAATGCACCTTCTTCTCAAACACTTTATTATTACCTCCAATCACTGGCCTTGCACTCACTGCTTCCCCTCCCACTGTGCTGCTTGTAATATTTCACAAGCAGCATAGATAACCGGGGGTGGATTGATTGGATCATCAATATAAATACTATTTATTATGTAGCAGGACAACAGCAGGACCTGCTATTATTCAGCAAGACTGGATGAAAAATGAAAGCACTATCCAGTTGTATGACATTTCTTACATCAGTATATAAAAAGTAAGTGATGATATCTTTCAGTTTGCCATTTTGAAACTTTAAAACATTAGTTTTAATGCATCATGTCATACAGTAACAACAGTTCTGTTGTAGCTCCTCATCATTTGAGTAGTTTTTGTCTCATATCATATCACTATAATGTTACAGGGACTGGCAGTCTGTGCCTCCTATACAAACATGGGGTCTGGTTTTAAGGTTAAACTGTTACAAAAATGACCAGAGCATTATGTCACACCAAAGCAACAGCCTGGTTATTTTGAATATGAATCAAAAGACCTTTTTAGGTTAGTCAAAGCAGACAGTGCATGAATACATTAAAGAGCATTATGGGACAGCTCTTATGCTAATAGTTGAGGTCTGGCTACATGAAGATTGAACTCTCATTCATCTCTCAGTAAATCTATTTAGCTGCATTACATCAACCTCCTGATGCTAGCTTAATGACTGGTCCTGACATTATTGCGACACAAACCTTTGTGAGACTGTGGTCGATGGTATGATGGACCGCTCCTCTCCTATGTAACGTGACACGAACACTCAGTGATGCTTTGCCTGTTTGTGAGCGGGTGTTGGTAACACAAATGAACAGGTAGAAAGAAATGATGATGGAACGAATGAGGCCATGAGGTGTTGGTGTTGGTGGGGGTGCTGGGTTGTTCACGTAGGAAGGTGACAGTTCAGGCTACATCTGTTATGCAACAGCGCATACCTTTTGCCACTGTGGATTTACATAAGTAATATGTGTTTTTCCTGCTGACAGCAGCCTCGTTGAGATTCACATGAATAATTTAGGATTATTCCGAGAGAGCAGAGCGAGGTGTTTCTTGGCTCCCGCTGGCTTTGTTACTTATTGTTAAGACGCCTGAGTTGTGATTTCTAATCCAGTGATAGGGCTTGTGGCTTCGTTCCTGAGCAGGCTGCACTGGAAATACCCACGTGAATACAATGGTCGTAATAATCCACCACAGTGAGAATGGCATCTCTATTCTTTTGGGATTGTTTCGTAATGGGTATAGAGAAGCTTAAATATTACTTGTGTGGTGATGTTTTATATTCCAGTTGATACCAATTGATTTACTGACAGTATATCTGTATCCACAGTCTGATATATCTTATTGCTCAGTCTCAGTGAAGCACTCTGTTGCACTGGGTGACATGATTCTTCTTTACCATGAACACACACTGTAGTTTATTTGTAGCAGACCCCTTTGCTGCTGTAAATACTCACTATAGCACCAAATGTGACCATCAAAACTGGGGACATTGTGAGTCCAATGGAAAGCACCCTAAACGCCCTGGCCACCGGCACGCCCCCTCTGCGACATGTTGTAGACCACTGGTGTGCACACTGTAAAACATCATGCATGAATCAACTAATCTTTTTGTCTGTTGACTTTATTTGTCATAGCATTTGGCCGTTTGTAAACTTTTACGCTCTGGATCAAAATTCACCTCTGTTTAACACAGTGTAATTTTCACAATAAGAAGATTTATTTGTTTAGCTAAATATATCATCAGAAATGCTATACGTGAATATTTGCAATCAGTGTGTGATCTTTCATATTTTTTCTCTCTGTATTTGTTCAGCCTAATTGGAAGCACGGAGAAACAGGTAGCTGGCTCTGTCCAAAGTAGAAAAACAGAGGATAGAAAGGCTTCCAGTGCCTTCAGAGCTGGCTAAAAAACACAATGCATCTTGTTTGCCTAATCCATACACAAACATAAATGTAAAAGTGACAATTTGTGGTTTTAAATGGAGTTTAATGCTATTTCTTGACAAACAGCCCACAGTCTTGTCGTCAGAGTGAGGTAGCCAGGTTTGGTACTAATGTGTCTGTAGATCAAAGCTGAAACATGCAACCTACCCTATAGCAGTAGACACTGTACAGAAGTGCTGGCTACATGGATAAATTACTCGAGTAATAGTCCCAAGACATAACTTCCCCAAAACTACAAATTACAGTACGAATTAATAAAAAAAAGCTATATGTCTATCAGGAGCTTTGGAGGGTTTTGAGTTTTGGACAAAGCCAGGCAAGCTGTTTCCCCCTGCTTCCAGTTTGTGGTAAGCTAGGCTCCAGCTCCAGGACATGAACAAGTGTCACGCTGAAAGACTGTTTAGGGGTGTGTCAGTGATGTAAAGCCAGCGACCATTCAATTTTCCACCCAAACATAAGCACCATAACAGGGGTTAATGTCTGTCATTAGTGTGTTTTATGACTGACTGTGAGGAACTGCAGTCACTCAACCATCCTCCTATTTACTAATCAGCAACATAAAAGCTATTAGTGCCTCCACTGGTGCTAGATCAAATTAACATTTAGACACACACACTCAGACGCTCATTGCTAATGTCATTATTGGTCAAGAAGCAGAGAGCTGCGTGTGTGGCTTTCCCTGGGTTTGTTTCTGCAGTTTAAAATTAAAAATGTACTGAAGTTTCTGCTTGAACTAGATGATCCAGGGTAAAATCTATTGGAAACTGTCTTGTTGTGGAGCACCATTAACTTTTCCCACCTCATGTACTTGACTGCAGTTTGTTATCAGCGCTGCAGTAATTGAACACAAGTGAGTATGACCTCACATCCAGACTGCTGCTGAAGTGCTCTTCTTATTGGATTATATGCAGTCAGCTGAAGAGCTGAGTCTCAATGACATCTCCATAGATCAGCTGGAAAGTGACACCCACGAACCATGTCTACAAGCCAAATAACAGCTAGCATTTGTTCTTATAATTACATTACAGGGGAAGCTACTGATAGCCCATTAGTCAACAGCGCCGTGTCAATATAATGGACAGGTCAGCACAGCAAGCATCTGACATGCTGATGTAGCAAAAACAGCCAAGTTCAACATCAGACAAAAAAACCTTTTCTAAAGAAATTTTCACTTTATAAGACTATGTTGTCACGACACTGCCTTTGTTTTCCCAAATAACAACCTTGACAGACCTTTTAGCTTTTTTGGCTAAATGTAGCTATTCAATACATTTACTACTGTAAATGTCCCAACTAAGTCCCGACGGTGTGCTGACTGTGCAGGAGCAAATGAACTTATTAATCAGCACTTTTTATGACTTCTTAAAATTTGTTCCAAATTAAATGACATTGTCCTGAAGGTCCAGGACACTTTCAAGGTTTTGAAAACATTATCTTTACTGTTGTACTTTGACACAACTAAGTTACATTTACCAGGTGTTTGCATTCAGGTGGTTGTCAGTCTCTGTGTTAGAAGTAGAGTTTCATGATACACTTGAGGGGTTGTGAGAAGATTAATTAAATAGAAAAAAACTCACTATTTTCTTACATTTATATTTACCTTTCTGCAGTCTTAGCATTCTTTTAGTGAAATCTGGATAGTTTTAACTTTTTGTGCCGTAACAGTTATTCATTATGGGTTAATTCGATAGATTGTAGAGAAGAAGTGGATGCAGCCACAGTGACATCACCCAGTCGTCTGTGGACTACCGTTCTGAAGTCTCGAGTTTGACTTTGAGTTTAGGTGACCAAAATGTTACAATTAACTTTCATGAACTGAAAACACACTATGAAAGGATCAAAAGTTCTTAGACACCAAAAGCACTCAAAACCAAGTTCTTGGCTGGTTAAATGGACACGGTGCGGTGCATACGATTCGCCTCCTGTTTGACAGGCCACTTGTGAATCACAAGGTAGCCTCACCCTGAAGCTTTCCCTGCTTTATCATCAGTTTTCCTCTAAATGGGACCATAATTTACAAAATGAACATAATGCTGTATTGAAGAAGACTTGAAACTAGCGATTGAGACCATAAACTTGTTAGGAAAGTGTTTACTGAGGTTATAAATGAAGTGAGAAGTAGGGTCAATGCAGGGTAAGGGCACTTCCAGATTGGCTTCACTTTTTAGACCTGGAGGTTGAGGTGAAAAATCCCAGCTTGTAAATCAGGCTATAATGGAATATGAGGTTACCACTGCTATTTAACAGTTTGGTGGCTGGAGTGCAACATCTTGCTGGTTAACTCAGAAATTCCTGACTTTATGAGTTAAGTCGTGCATACAGCTTGAGCTTGCGCCTGCACTCAGTAAATGGGAAAGCGTTGTTAAAAGTGCTGCACTCATGCAGCACTTTTAACAACGCTTTTTTTTGCCACAATGAAAGTCTCACAAGAAGAAGCCCCATAGAGGATATATCAAGTCTGCTGAGCAGTTTGGCTGTTTCAGTTTATAGGGTTTTTTGTCTTAATAGTGGTTTCCAGAAATACTGTAAAGGATTAAAGAGAAGCATGATTTTGGGTGTGTTAACTTGATTGACAGGTCTCTCTTACCTGTCACAGTCATTTGACTTGGCTACTCCTTGTGTGTCCCCACTCCGTCAAGGGTTGTCTTTGACCAAATACAGATTGTGGCTTC